GCAAGTGTCTTACGTATGTTCCCTTAGATAGGGCCTCTCTTGGGGCTCGAATCGCCCCTACTAAGCCCCAGGAGGCTCCAGGAGACCCCAGGAGGCACCAGGAGGCACGAAGAGGCCTCAGGAGGCACCAGAAGGCACCAGGAGGCCCCAAGAGGTACAAGGAGGCCTCAGGAGGCCCCAGGGGGCCCCAGGAGGCCCCAAGAGGTTTCAGAAAACATCAGGAGGCGCCCTCAGGAGGCCCCGGGAGGCCCCAGGAGACTCCAAGAGGCTTCAGGAAACATCAGGAGGCACCAGGAGACCACATGAGTGGCTCCAGCCCCATGTGTTTTACATCTGTTCCTATAGATTCGGCCCCCCTCAGGGGCACGAGTCCTTAGTGCTTTACGCATGTTCCCATCGAATGGCGCCCTCCAGGCGACGACCTCCTCGCGCACGTGCAGTGGCTCAAGGGCGGCGACGGGTTCCCGTTTTCCAACACCACGGTCTACTCTGACGGCGCGGTCTACGATGCTGGGACTTCGCTGGCGGTGGGGGCATGCGGCATGGTGCAGCTGCCCGACGGCGGCGACGACTGGGATCCTGGACCCGAGTCGACCGTCAAGGCATTGGGCACACCTTTGCCTGGGCCGTTGCAGTCCATAGACGGGGCCGAGCTCCTGGGGTGCCTGGTGCTTCTCCGCCACAGCCTGCCTCCGATCACAGCGGCCTTCGACGCCTCGTACGTTACCAAAGGCCTGACGGCGAGGGGCGAAGCCAGTACCACCAAGGCGACCTCTGCCTGGGGGTGTATCTGGAGGCGCGTCTGGGCGGCACTGGACGACTTCGGTGGCATTGGGCCCCAGGGGCTCACGATTCAGAAGGTGAAGGCGCACGCCACCGCGGCCATGGTCCAGAACGGGGACATCACTGCCCGCGACAGGCGTGGCAACTGGGAGGCCGACCGTGCTGCGAAGGTAGTTGCAGCCGCAGTGAGGGCACCGCTTGAGCTTCGCGAAGCCTGGCAGCGACGGTCCCTCACGCTCGACGGAGTCGTGCACTGGGTTGCGCGAGCGGGGTGTGAGGCAGCTGACCTGAAGCTGGACATCGACCCGAACTGCAAGCCGATTCACAAGGGGCCGCCTCTCAGCATCACCAGGCATGGCGTGATCAAGGTGGCTGGCGACGGAGTTCATTGCAGGGCCTGCCTCAAGACGGCGTACACCGACCTCAGCATCAAGCGGCTGCTCAAGGACCCGTGTGTGGGCAAGCCGTTTGCGCCCGTGGCAAGCGGCGCGAGGCGCAAGCCTGCTGCTTCGGCTTTGGCTTCTGCAGGTGCTGTGGCGGTGGCGCTGGCGGCGGCGCACAGGCTCGAGCAGGAGGCTCAGTGCGCACAGGACGACGAGATCGTGGCGGCCTCCGAGCCCGAGATCCAGCAGGCTGCGCCGAGCCCCGTCGGCGCCGCTCGCGAGCCACCAGCTGCGGGCACGCGGGCGGTGCGACGGCCTGAGGCGGCAGCGGCTGGCGGTGGCAGCAGCAGCAGCAGCAGCAGCGGCCAGGACCTCTCGCCTGGTGCTGCCCTCATGCGCGCGGTGGCCGCCGCCCGTGCTGCGCGCGAGGCTCAGGGCGTAGCGGCGGCGGACCCCGCCGACGGCCAGGTGGACGCAGGCCCCGCGGTCGCCCAGGACGCCATGGAGGTGGACGAGCCTGGGGGATCAGGCACCCAGGATGCTGAAGGAGCGGGCCACGCGCTCCTCAGCATCAACGGATTCAGGATCTGCACGCGCTGCAAGGCGCACGCAAAGGAGATCAATGGCAAGCACAGGGCGCTCGGCAAGACGTGCGTCGCAGCCTCAGGCAACGCGCTGCGCCTGCGCAACCTGAAGGTCGCCAATATCAGGGCAGGCTTGGACCCAAAGACGGGCAAGCGCCTGAGTGAATGAGTTGGGGAGTGCCTTCGGTGGTCTGAGCCTTTTCAGGCTCGGCACGGGGTGGATGGTGGCTCGCGTGGCTGCCTCACCTGACGGCGCACACCCACGCGGCGCGGCGAGCGCGCTGCTTCTTGGAGGCCGCTGTTTGCGGTGCCTCCTTGCCGCATTTTGCGGCTCTCGCTTTCGTGGCGGCAGGATCGGCTCGTGCTGCACGGGCTGCCTTGTCATTAAAAAGTGGCTCCAATCCTAGGTGTTCCGCATCTGTTCCTGCAAACCGGGCCCCATTGCTCCGTGGCGTGGCAGGCTGCATCACGGCCCAGCCACTACGCGAGATTTGTTGCGCCAGCCAAGCGCAAGGGTTTCGCCCGGCGTATGCGCGAGCACCACTTCATTATTTGCTTCATCGTGGAGGAGGGGTAGCGTAGCCACTTCGACGCAGTCACGCCCGGACACGCTCAGGCCACCGACGCGCAGATGTACCCATCCTAAGCTTAGACATATTCAGACTCAGGCGCAACGACGCATTCGTACTACTGAGACGCGTTCACTTTCCAACTCGTTCACAATTAGATCCACTCCCAGTCCGTCAATACTCAAAGCCGCTGACATTCGACAACTTTTGCGCCTAGACACGGCGGACAGGTTCGTGCTAATATATGCACATCTGGGGAGCTCCACGCAGAGAATATTCATTTGTCCCGTTCGGCTCGTTGTCCCTTCCTTCCGTTCCGTGTTGCCTTCCGTTCCGTTGTATGTTCTCTCGTTTTCTTCGTGTTCGTTTTCCTCGTCCTTGTCGTTTTCCTCGTCTTCCTCGTCCTCCGCGCCCCTCCTGCTCCGGAGGAGGAGGAGAAGGGAGATGACCGAGGATAATGATACTCTTGCTGAGGACGAGGGGGCGAGGACGCGGGATAAACGGGGGAAACGAAAGAACCCCGAACCTCAGAGTTCTGGAGTTTTGCCTGGAGAGCGCCCGGTGGGGAGAAGTACAAAATGGGGACTCCGCAGTTCCAGGCTTCGGACTCTCTTGGACTCCGGGTCTACACCAGCCCGACCGTTCGGTTGCATCTTGGGGGGACCTCGCCTGTCCCAAAAATGGGTGTCTTTTTGGGGGCCCGACGCGTGCTCGATGCGGAATCGACGCGGATTGGGCGTGGTTTCGACGCGGATTCGACACGGATTCGACACGGATCCGACGCTCCCGACAGGGACTCGACACGGATCCGACGCGGACAGGGCCGCGACGGGACAGACGAGGTCCCTTCGAGGATGCAACATAACGACCCCTGCCCTTCACCACCCACCAAACCACCCCAACCCAACCCGAAGGCTCAGATTTACCCTCGATTTCCAGTGGGGGGGGGGTCGGGAAACATCAAAGAAATACATGTGGAACCCTTACCCCCCCAACCCGGAATTCGGGTCTTCGGGTTGGGTTGGGGTGGTCTGGTAGGTCGTCAGCCCTTGCCCCGGCCCCAGCCCCGGCGCCTGCCGCGGAACCCCGGCCGCGACTCTGGCCCTGGCGCTCGCCGCGGCCTCGGCCTATCGGCTTCCCCTCCGGCCCCGGCTCCGGCCTCGGCCGGAGCTCCCGTTCCGGCCCACTCGGGGAGGACGAGGAGGAGGGGCCGCAGCTCTTACCAGTTTGCATCACATACCTATCTTCGATGCTCGTTTGGGGGACCTTCCTGGGGCCCAACTAATGGATCTGTTCGACTCAGGTTCGACTCAAGTTCGACTCAGGTTCGACACATATTCGACTCAGATTCGACTCAGGTTCGACTCAGGTTCGACTCAGGTTCGACGCAGCTTCGACGCACGAGTGGAGCGAATGGCTCCAGGAAGGTCCCCAGAATGAGCATCTAACCTATCCCTGTGTTTGACATCACCTCACCTCGATGCCGATCTTGAGGATTCCCTCGGTTTCTGAGGGCCCATCCCTAAGATTGTCCTCGCTCTTTGCTCGCCCATCTTAGGGATAGGGATCCGTTCGAGGCTGGTTAAGCACCCAGCCTGGAAGCTGGAGTCCAAACCTTTCAAACTCCAGAGTCTAAGGTTCTTCAGCTCGGGATTCCCCCGGCGACCCCGACTCCCTGGACCCCTCGGGATCCCCCCTCGGGATCCCCCCTCGGGAACCCGCCGGGGAAGGGTGCAACAGGACGGGGCTTCCCATCGATGTAATTACGACATTGTTCGATCCCTCTTATTTGTTCGATCTCCCTTACGACAACGATTCGAATTAGGCGTTACTTCAGTTTGGGTTGGGCTGGCCTCGCGTCGAAAAGCTTCTCACACACGCTGACTGTGTCGGCGGATGATGGTCGTCGAAAGTAGGTAGTTGGTGATTCCCAGAACCCAATCTATTTCGGGCGCCTTCTATCTCAAGAGTCGAGTGGGTTTCCCTTTTCGCTCCCTTTCTGGGGGCGGGGGGAAACCCCGTCTACTTCCGGCGCCCTCCCACTTCACTTCTTCCGACCGACGGGTAACCCCTCCTTTGTTGCCGGCGTTTTCGACACAATGCCCAGGTACAACGACGGGAAGTTGGCGCAAGTCAGCCACGCGCAGAGGGGGGGGGGGAGGGGGGAGGGCTTCTTAGAAGCACCTCTGCTTCTCAGAAGGCGCGGGCCTTATCTATAGATGTAAGGCTGGCGCCTTCTAAGAAGCAGCCTGCTTCTAAGAAACCCTGCCCCCTCCTCCCACCCCCTTGTGTGCGCCGCCAAGCAAGCGCCTCCCCCCCGCTCCCCCGATTTCAGTATTACCCTCATCGCGTAGGCCGCGGTCTTCCGAGGTGGGTGCCATTTCTCGAGACTGCGCTCTCCCCCGCATGGAGCGCCTCGGGCTCTGAAACTGGGGCGGGGGGATTGGGCCCGCTCAGACACGCATTAGATCAGGAGGGGAGAAAACACACAGACACAATCAATCGTCGATTCCCAGGAAAATATGGGAAGTGGGGGGGAAGACAAGAACCCAGAAAATATGGGGAACTATGGGGGATCCTGTTATTTGTGTGTATTTATTTGTGTGTCCCAGGGCCCCTTCATTAGAGACGAGCGCTTTCTTCGAAAACCACGTTCCTTCCTTTCGTCCACCCCAACTCAGGCGGCCTCCTCCACTGCCGCCACGTCGTTCACGACGACCGCCTCTTTCTTGGCCAACCTGGCGAGCTCCCTCAGGGCTGCTGGAGGAGGAAAAGGATAACCGAGACCGCTGCCTTTTCCTCGTTTTCGCCCTTATGGGCTTCTCCCGAGGGGGCCCTTGCCGCCACGGCTGGATTCGCCCTGCATTCTAGGTCAAGTTGCACTGCAAGAGAGGTCCCGGCAGTGGCGGCATCGGTCCCGTGTCTCGTCGATCCCGAGGCCCTGCGCGAGTTCGGCTTCTTCATGGGAGTCTGTGTCGCCATGGCGCCAGGGGACGGTCGGTGGCCAAGAGTCGGAGCAGGAGCATGCACCGCTGCCGCTGCCGGCTCCTCGTCACCACGGCCGGTTTCGCCCCGAGACCCAGGTCAGACTGCCCCCGGGGGGGTTTTGGAGAAGCGTTGCCTCGAATAGGGGGTTGACTACAGAATTGTGAAACTCCCGTGGTGATTTCCCCGCCGAGTGTAGGAGAAACGCGTAGAGCGTTCGTAGATTTACTGGACGTTGTACATCTGTTCCTAGATCCGGCGGGCTCATCAATTTTGGAGTGCCAGATCGATTCTGTAGTCGATCCCCTACCCGAGTGATGATGTTCTCCCATCTTTCAAATCTGCGCCTCTTAGATGGGGCCCGAGTGGGGTCGGAGAAACAAGCGTCGCGGATTCATCGGCGATGCGGTGCGATGTGGAGACAGATTTTCTCCACGCCGGCGTCGCCGATGCACCGCCGACGCCGCCGATGCATCTTCGTGCATCCTCCACGCATCGGCGATGCATCGGCGATGCGGCGCGATCTCCCTGCCCCCGCTCTTCTCGGACCCCATCTCGGAAGCTTCCATCACAGAAGTCGGAGCGCCTCGTGTTCGACACGGCACCCCAGGGGGCGCGAGCGTCGCCGCCCCTCGCGCCTCGCGGCCTGGGTCGGGGCGGCGCCACGCTTCGCCAGGGAGCGGAGGGAGAGGGCGAAGAGGCCCGAGCTCCGCGCGGCTCGGGTGCACGTGAGGAGTGGCCTTTCGCCGGAGGGACCTTTGGTGCGGGCACACTCGGGGTTGGACAGACCTCCTACCATGACACGTCGATTCAGGAATTGGCCGTTTTCGGTTCGCGAGAGGGCGTCGCGGCCATCATTTTTGCGGGTCCTGGTCCGTCGGTTTCGGTCCCGGGCCGTTTTCTTTCAGGGGAGGTCTACTAATGGGAGGTTTGTCCACCGCCGACACACTGGGGTCCCGAGGTGACTGAATGCGATGTGGTAGCAGCGGCTGCCGCGCCCAGGTCTGGCAGCCCCGCGTCCCCCGAGGGTCGCGCGCCAGAGGTCACTCTTGCCCAGGGTCTCTCCTGCGTGTAGCAGAGCTGTGCAGGGCGCGACTTTTTGAGGTGTTCCAGTAGCACAAGAGTGCAACAGCCATGTCGGACGAAAGGGGGAGTTAGAGTCTTCGAAGAGGACCAGAAGACATCACAATAAACTGTTTGGGAGCATCACGCGGATTTATTGGGTCGGCGCTTGAACCCCGTTGGCGGTTCTCTTAAGACATCCGCGCGGAGCCGGGACAGTTCCGTATTGCGCTCAGCCAAGGCGCTGACATGATGAGCATTAGAGCATAGGGTTCAGGAGGGGTCTTGGTTTGGGGGCTGCTCCTTAGATCCATACTCTGGATGTGACAATAATCGCCCCCCCTTGAATCCGCTGAGGGGGTTGGGCACGTGCTTTCGGAACGGGTGGGGGTAGGGTTGGAGGATGAGGAGGAGGATGCGGGGGAGGAGGCTGGAGGTGGGCGGGATTGGGCAGGCTCAGTCGGGAGGTCAATCCCCCCCCTTGATCAATTCCCCATCCAGAGTAGACCCGGGGCGGGGGGACCCCATTCGTGGCCGAGGTTCGCTGTGTTCGAGCAGTGGCGATGCGTCCTGCTTATTCTATAGGTCCACCAGAGAACGTTCTAAGAGTCTTGTGTGGTTTGCACTAAATGTTCTTAGACCATGGCTGGCTGGGACTGTCTTGTTTTAACACATCGGGTTTCTGTTCTACGCACGTTGTTTCGGTTCTTAGAACATTTCGGGTTCTGATAGTATTTCGTGGTAGGCGTACAGGAGTGCCAGGACGGTCGGTCCCTGGTCAATGTGTGGCCAGGAGTGCTCCTTCGTGCCGCCAGTGTCCCTTTGCGGCAGCACGATGGCTGCAGGGAAGGGGGAGGGTACGGCATCGACTGCATGCGGCTGGTGTCGGCCCCGCCGCCGAGCGCGATTCCCAATGCATGCCCTACACCAGCGCCGGGAGGCGCCAGGAAAACTCAGGCGATCGCAAACATGGACAGAGGGGGCGTGGATTAGCGACGGGTCCCGTCTCCATGGGATCTCGCGGATCTCCGCCGCGGGGCGAGGCGGCACCGGCCGTTTTTGGGGGGAGGGCACCTCCCCCGATGCAGGGATTTGGCGACTGCGCGCCAAATCCATGGATCGCCAATCCATGTTTGCACGCCCCCGAAAAACCAGTCACGTGAGTTGATGCGCTCACCCCCGCCCTACCAACCTCCCTTGTCGTCCGATCTGGAAACAGAGTGTTCCGTCTCTTGGCCATGCGACGAACGAGCTGTAACATAGTCAGTTGAGCAACAGTTGGTATCATAGAAATGCCACCCGAACCCCCGTGTGGTCTGTCTCCACACGCTGCGCAATCCAATGTCCATGCAGGGACGCCGCGCGGTTCAAGTTTGTTGGCCGTCGGCGCAGCGCCATCAGCATTAAGATGGGGAGCCCGGGGGTGGCAACCTATATATATATATATATATATATATACATATGTATATCCACCTATGTATACTGTTCATACCAGTATGCCCATATACCTAGTCATGTGTTTATTAATAAGTTGATATATATATATATATGTATATTTGTGTATATGTATACATATATACATATATATGTGTATATATAGAACGACTGGCACTCGGCACATCCCGCCACCGTGCTTGGGTTGTGGTTCTGAAGGCTATTGGATAGTCGCTGGGATCTCGTGGGAGGCCTCTTCGGGGGCCTCTTGGAGGCAGTTTGGAGGACTTTGGGAAGCTGTTTCGGGGCCTTTCTTGGCCGATTGAGGGTCTCTTGGGGCCTCTTGAGAGCCTCTTTGGGGCCTCTTGGGGGCCTGTTGGGGCCCCCTGGGCCCTCTTGGGGCCTCCTGGGCGCCTCTTGGGGCGGAAAGCTCGGACTCTCTGTTCGTGTTCCCCCTCTTGGGCCCCTTTATAGGCCGTCTTCGGGCCCTCATGGGCCGTCTTGGGCACCTCTTGGGCCGTCTTGTGGCCCCCCTGGGCCGCTTGAGGCTCTTCTGGATGGCCTGTTGGGGCTGGTTTGGGCGATCGTGGAGACTTCTTGGGCCGACTTGGACGCTGTGACGACCAGGAGGGCGGCAATGCCCAAGATGTATGTTCCCCGAAGGGATTGGACGATTTCTGTTTCTTGGGACTTTCTTGGAGGCTCTTGGAGCTCCATTGAGGATTGTGGGGGGTCTTTGAAGTCGTTACGAGGCTAGCTCGGACATCTTGGAGAGTTCTTCTGTCGTCTCGGAAGTTTTCGTGGTTTTCCTGAGCCTTTTTGCTGCACTCTGTGCGTATTTGGGGGCCTTGTTGGCAGAGACCCACGCGACATTCTACGAACGTTCAAGAGCACACAAGAGGGCCTGGTGGCGCATAGGAAACCGGGGGTCCGGGCCGTTAAATAATTTCTGAACATGGGAATCTCTGAGGGTTGCAGGAGCCTTGCGACACACCAGTACGTGCTGAAGGAACGGTGGCTTCGTCGCGTAAAATGGGGCGATGCTATTTGTGTTTGCATTGACCCCCCCCCAAACATAAAACCGCCCAGCCACGCATTGGGGCGGTGAGCAGTGTCTGTTTGGTTGGCCCCACGACAAGTTCACCTTGTGTTTCTGGCCCGCCTTCGTCCTAATCCAGAAGACCGGGATCCCCTTCCTGGCGCCAGGCTTCCCGGGCCCGCCGTGGGTGTCGGGCGACCCCGCAGTGGGCGACGCCACTGTCCGTGAGTGCCGCTGCACCGAAGTGGTGGCGGAGTGCGTCCACTACAATGACCGCGACCGGACGCGTACCGTGGCATTCACCTCTCCCGGCTACCCGCAATGGCACGACGCGGTGGAGGTCGATTGGTCCACCACGCGAAGCAGGATGGCATGGATCGCGCAGCAGTTGCTTGGCCTCACGAGGGCCCCGACGGAGGGGCGCCGAGGAACGCCGTGCGCTCAGGGACAAGCAGCTCCGCTCCATGACGGCGTGGCTGGACAAGGGCTCTGCGCCCCTGCCTCTATCGGAGAAAAAGGGCCCCCTTGATGGCGTCGAGGGCGGCAGTGGCGAGGCGGCGGCCCGCGAGCCCCGCCCCCCCACTGCCGAAGCGCATCGGATGGGCGAGGTCGTTCGGGAGCACCCCGGAGGGCGAGATCGAGCTCTCCATCTCGTCCCAAGAGGAGGCCCGCGGCGCAGCCGCCGCGCCCGGCAGCCAGGACCTCGCCGCCGCGCTCGCCGATGCAGACGGCGATCAGGTCAGCTTTGGCGGCGACATGAATGGCGACGCTACGAATTAAGTGTGCGGCCGCTTCGGCACGGGGCAGCCGGCGGCCCACGCTGCCCTTCGTAATTCTAAGTGCTGATCGACACTACAGTGGTTACCCAGACAACGCTGAGGGCGCGGGCAATAGCAGCAACCGCAAACGCCACCTCCCAGGAAACTGCGTCGTCGTCAACCTCATAATGTTGATGCGCCTGTTCCGTCTTTGTCTGCTGTCCGCGTCTCCCAATCGGCTGACCGAGGTCTGCTGTCCAGGACTAGACGCAGAGGGGTCCATGAGGCGTTGGCGTGGAAACCGGGCGACACCCGCACAACCGCTATATTTTTAAATATTTTGTTTTTGAAGCCCCACGCGCACAAAACGCGCTGATTCTCGATGTATATTCAGAGCCTTGTCAAGGCAGCCGCGTGGCAACACAGGTATACTTGTTGCGGTTGAAAGGTTTTCCGCAATGCCGCTTACATATAGATATATATAAACAAAAAACGCGCAGTTACTCAATATTTTTCTGATTTTCTGGACGCGGGCGCGCTGCGACGAGGCCGGGGGCGCAGGGGGTTGCGCCCGTGCACGGAAACGCAACGCATCAGAAACATTAGAGTTTTCGCAGGGTTTCCGGGCGACAACCACCCGACGCATCAATGATATCTGCGCGTGTTCATGGTTGCCGACGACGATGGCCATCCGTTGTGCAAAGG